AACTTATATTTAACAACAAAAAGAATGATCTCTGAAGCCCATTTTCAATCCATATTTTGAACAGGATATGTCCTGATTAATAATGATAATAGAATCTGCTCTCTTCCTTCCCACTTCAAAGCTCTGGCTTCAGTGGACTTAAATCTATTACTTCCTTCTGTAGGTTGAGTGTGTCAGGTTTTCACTATTTTAAAACCATGAGCTATAATTCTGAACATTTGGATTGTATAAAAAAAGGAGTAACATGCTTTGGAGAGACTAGCAGCAGTCTCTGTTCAAAATGAGCTGATCCTTTTGCTCTACAAAAGATTATTCAGGATAGACATACATGTCCTAACTCCACAAAGAATTTAAATGTGGACATGGTTTAATCAAACATAGGCAGTTCTAGTTCTACATACTTCCAGTTGAGGAAGGATCATCATATGTTTAAAAGGCACAGAACTGGAAAAGAAGAGATTCTTTCCTAAAAATAACAGCGTGTACCCTGGAGTACACTTAAGGATTCTATATATTCCATGTATTTGCTGGAAGAAATGCAGAGGGGAGCTCTTTGCCAACATGTGGTTTTACACATCTCCTAGCCAACTCATACTCAAATACAAAACCCAACATTCAAATGGGTTTGTGATACTTTTTCTGCCATTTCGATTGTATTGCATTCCCCTAGCTATGTAGAATACCTAGGACATATCTGTTATGGATAATATTCTGCACTTAGGGTCTGATTGTTTAAGCCTTATTCGGGGGGGAGTGGGTGGGAACCCTTCCCGCATTTCTATGAGACTTGCTTGTATAAGGGCTACAGGATGAAGTTATTCAATACAATTTACAAATAATTTCATGTTCTACAGGGAAACAGTGTCTTCCCCGTGTAGGTTAAGCAAGTGATAATGGGATGGAAAGTGATTCTGTGCTAAGCCTTTACTTTTCTACAGAAGGTTCTTTGTGTAAATGGGCATCAGAGATCTGAATACTGTGGGGGTGGGAATTTTGGGTAGATGGAGTTGGAAAATATCTGCTGTAATCCGCACAGGAGTTAGTACTAATTAATGCAGAATAAGGACCTTGACAGGTGGCGTTAATGCTGGTTGGACACCTTATTTTCACCTTCAAAATAGACATCTGGGCATTGTGGTGTCATGGGTCATGCTCTCACCAGAAAACGATTCCTCTCCTTGAAGCTTTGGAGCCCAAAATAAAATCACTCTGTCAAAGTGCAATGAATGTAAAGTGGTATTATTATTTATTATCTAATATTTGGGAAATGCTGACTGGATTGACAGGAAATGCCCCCTGTGGGCGGGGCTCACCCACCAAGGAATCCTAGAGGGCGCTTCCTCTTCCGGATAAGCAGGTAGCCATGTTGCTCTTTCAGGCTCATTACAGACAGAATAAGGCAGAAATGTTTTAAGAAATTCCATTTTTGGGGGGAAAAGCAGCTATCCTTGTTGGTACCATTCAGACTTTTATTTCTCCTTATTGTATTTTTTAGAGAGACATTTTCTCTTTTTTTCATCCTTTCCCTCCCTCTTTCTTTTTGCCTCAAGTATTTTTAAAACGGTAGATTAAGAGGCCAGACACAGGCTTGTTCAATTGGAATTTTGGCAGAAAATTTAAAATGTTCAGTGTAGCACTTCAAAGTTAGTAGAAACTTGGTTTTGAAAACTGTTGCTGATATAAGATGGCATATTTAATGACAGATGTATCTAAAGAAAGCTGTTAAGATGCAGATTATCCCCCTGAGGAGGGGAGATCAAAACTGCCAATCTATAAAATATACTTGTTAGGGGAAGGCATAGAATCTATCTATGCAAGCACTTTGATTGCAGGGGACAGTGTAGCAGCATGTGGCATCATAACCTAAGAGCAGACAAATCAGCTTGATGACTTTCAAAGCCAAGAATACTGCTGGAGGCAAGGGTACTCCAGTCTAGAAGAAATTAAAACATATAGAGACTGTTATTAATTCCATATCTATTTTTGTGTAGTCAAATCTGTATGCAAATTCTTAGCATCTCATTTTGGCAGATTAATCTAAAAGTGAAGAGCGGCATGTGAAAGGAATGTAATGATAAAACACCACGGATGAGTAGTAGTACAGGAAAAAAAAAGGAAGCTGTATACTTGGTATGAGGAGCTTTTTAAGGGGAAAAAGAAAACATTTTTTTATTTATGTGATTATTTATTAAATATTTTACACAGAAACAACCCTACCACAAAGCAAAACAAAAAACAGTTCCTGGGCTTTTCTTTCTTGAGAGTGAATTGGTAAGAGGCCTAGCATCATGTTTCTGATCCAACTCTTGTAGTTTAACATTTAGAGGGAATCAGCAAAATAGCGATGATTTTTGTTTCAAAAGAGTAAGTGGACAGATCATTTCTTTTTTCATATACAGTAATATTTAGAAATGTAAAAATTTGAATTGCAAGACAAAGATTAGAAAAAATATCATGTGTAGTTGTATGTACAGTTGACAGTAAACAACACAGAGCTACATAATGCATCCCGAGATTAGTAATGTAACTTGCCTATACATATGTAATGTACAGAGGTGGTGATAGACAATATTTTCAAAGAACACTCTGTCTGGATTTTCTATTTCGATTTTAAATGCTTCAGAGCAAGGACTGCATGTCATAATGTGCATGTACAGTACCTAGTACACTGGGGTTGGCCCCCCCAAGACATAGCTGTAATATAAATAATCAGTGTTATTGCCAAGCAGTAAAGGGCAATTTGCTTTAATAGATTTGTTCTTAGTTTCTCCTGTATATGTAAAAATGTCTGGAGCTGCATGAGAGTGAATGGGAGACTTTTCCTGTTATTTGGTTGTGCTATTGACATTGTAGGATGTAGCTTGGCTTTTTCCATGATTGGGTGTAATGTTGTTGTTGCCTGTATTATAGAACATAAAATGCGGTATTATAGTGACTTTTGCTTAGGTAAATATCAAGATTTATAATTGCAGGAGGTTTACAAATAACCATGGCAAGACACAATGAAATCTTGAGGTTAACCAAAATATGGAGACAATACAGATCTTGTTATAAAGTTTCTAAGTATTTGCAGCCAAAACATCCAGAATGTTATATTCAAATATTTGTTTTGAACATAACATTTAAGTATTACATTGTTTTAAAAAGGAAGATGAGGTTAGAGGTCAAGGAGAAAAGATGATTATAGCTTTCTGATGAACAGCCAGTAAGCAAATATTGGTAAATGATTAATTATGATTTTTTTTGTTTGTTTTTTGAAAGTTACAAAGTTCTCTGTCTGCAGGAAGACATCTGCCCAGATCCTGGGCCTCATTAAGCTCATGTTGAGTCAATCAAGTGCTACAAAGGACAAATAAAGATTACCCTAGCACTGGAGAAGTCTCTGGCCAGCTCTCACCTTAGCCACTTTCTCAACTCCATGGGCATGCCAGGGTTTTGTGGGAGCAAAAGGACGCAGTGCTGAAGCAGAATGCAGGACTGGCCTTTTGGGACTAGCCTAGACAACATAAAGTAGAGCAGGTCTCTGGATGCACTGAGTTGTACTGAAGACTGATCTATCCCATCCTCCCACTAGTCTGAACATCAGTTTAAAGACCACTTTGTCTCCTCTGTGCTCTGCAAAGTTTGTTGTTGACATGAAGAATTTAGTGAAGTTCTGAAGCCGCTAATACAAACTGCATGGTGTCCCATGTTCAGGGCTTCACTTGTGTGGATCAGCTTACAGTATCGGGCCCTATGAGGATGAACAAAGAGAGTACGGGGTGATTTTATGTCAAATCTGTCATTTGAAGTATCAGTTTGGGCCAAATGAGCTATTCTAGGCATTTTCATCTTTGTTTGCAAATTATATTGACCTCTAAGTAGCCAAGATGCAGTATATGGATATGCTTCTTGGCAATGGTTAATGATGTTTCAGACTCCATACACGTACTAGTCATTCACAAGGCTAGTTCCATGGAACAGGGTATTCTATCCCTATATAAATATTTCATTTTGTTTTTCTTTTGGAATTGTGTGAAAATAGTTGTTCTGAGATCCAGCACAATGTTTTTCGAATGAAAATGATGTCCCATAGCACCATTCCTGGTTGGTTACAGTGCTAATCTCTGCCCCCAGCAATTTTCTCCTTTCTGATCTTTGACTGCCTCTTAGATTACATGCTCCTTGAAGCAGGGACAGTCTAGTCATTTTACCTCTCTGTGACTCATTTTACCTATCTGTAAACCAGGGATAATGATATAGACCTCCTTCATAAAGCACTTTGAGATGTCCTGATTAAAAGTGCTCTATGAGTGCTAGAGATGATTAATAATAGTATTTTTTGTGTGTGTCTTGAACAAGGATGACACATAGAATCACAGAAATGTAGGGCTGTGAGGGACCTAGATAGGATATCTAGTACAGCCTCTTGCACTGAGGCAGGACCAAGTGAACCTCAGTCACTCCTGCCAAGTGTTTGTTTAACCTTTTCTTGTCTAAATCTCCATTGACATAAGCTCCTACTAATGCCTATTTCAGAATTTAACTACAGTTACAGTTAGAAAGATTTTTCTAATATCTAATCTAAATCTCCTTTGATGCTGATAAAACTGATTACTCCTGTTCCCTTCAATGGACACGGAGAACAATTGAACCATCCACTTTATAATAGTCCTTAGCATGTTTGAAGACTGGTCAGTGTACTCAACTAATATTTTTGTACCATGTACTAGCACGAGGAATTAGCTTTACAGAAAGAGAACAGTTATTTTGTTGTTTGCTATTTTGCCTTGCTCTGATTCTAGCAACATGGATCCTCTGTGCTCGTTATTAACTGGATCAAAAAAAAAAGTGTGTGTCTCTGAAAGTAAAACTGGTGAGAAGTAATGTAATTATGTCACAGATTGAATAATGTGATGTATAAAAGCATAGTCCTAAGTATGATTAAGTTGTTTTACTAAGATCTTGGTCCTTTTGTATACTTGTGAAAATATTTTAACCCATGTAAAAATCTGTTGTAGGAGGAGTAACAAATACTGCACAATACCAGAACAGGCTAATGGTCTATGATCCTAAGCAGGTAAGTGTCCATGTTATTGGTGTTTGCTTATATATTTGCATATAAAAGTATATAAAATATATAATAAAAATAATGGCAAGTTAAAAACACTGCCAATTCAAATGACTAGTGTTTTATACCTACTTTCCACTATTATAAATGAATATAAACGTACCGTGAAACAAAGAATTAGGGCCATTGTTTAAAAAAAAATACTCCTTTGTTGCTACTCTAGGATGCTCCCAAGAAAACATGTTAAAAATCTATGGTATTTATCACCATTTATTCTGTTTTGCCTTTTGAAAACTATTCGCTTTAGATAATACAACGAATGCACAATGCGCACATACTGGTTTTCCAACGGTAGCACAGTATGGCAATATTTGTGCTCCATATGCTGTAGGGAATGTGAACAGTCGAACAAAAATGTTTTTTATGAACATGAAACCATTTTTATTAATATTAAAATTTTCATTTACCACAAATACATAATTTTGGACCTGTACTTCCCATTAGTGATCTATTAAATTTATGTATTGCAAAGCACTTGATTACCATTTTTGATATAGGTAAGATGACTATCACTTTATTATCTGAGCATCAAAAGTGTCTGTTAGGAATGTTTTCATGCATTATGTATATGTTTTGATTAGGTCAAAATTCTCCAGTAACAACTTCAGAGCACTTGGACATGGTAATATGCCCTTTCCTCCTGTATTGGGGAAACAAACATCCCAATCCTGCTGCTGTCACAATAGTATGAGTAGGCTCTTATGACCCTATAGAAGAATATTGACTTCCAATTGTTTGTTAGTGGCTTTGAGTTTTATATTTATAGCCAAAATTTGCCATTGATTTTATGGGGAGCAACACATCTGTATCCAAGAGCATTTGGTCTATAGGAATCACAATTAACAATTTCTTTTAAAGGGCACAATATTTTTATTATTGATTATACAAGCAGAGGTTCTGTTATGAATCTCTGTCCACAGTGAACACAGGCTGATTTTACTCATGATTTGGGCATCATACTTATATACTCTGCCTCCTTTTTGTGTAGTGTATGTTTTGTCTAGTTCTCTTAGTTACTCAGGTAGTGTCAGCAGCTGCATGCTAAAATCTATGGCTTGGCTACTTCAGCATACAGTGCTAATTGCAGGAGGCCAAGTCTGACACACAAACAGTTAAAGTGGAAGAGTGTGTTAGCGTTCTTCAAATGAGGTCTGCTTCATGTTTGTACACACATGCTTGTTTTAAAAATTCTGCTGGCATATTGTTTACGGTGGGTACTGGAAAACATCACATCTGCTTGCGTCTTGCACAGAATCTCAATAACTCCATCATTCAGCACTAGTGCTTGTTTCTGTGCTAGGCCTTTGTGGAGAGTCGATAATGCCTGCCATCTGCCACAGAGCACACAGCTACCTGCCAACAAGCAGGCTGGGGTGACCTCTGCTTCCCCACCACTGATTAGTATTCACATGCTGGCTTATTAGGAATGACCCCACCAGGCCCCTCTGTTCCTTTGCCTTTGCAGTGCTTGGCGGCTCACCTGGCAGGCATTGCAGTGTAGGAAGCTAAAGATATAATCAGGGGACGCAGGCAGGCTTTGCTAAGCAGATGGTGTCTATAGTCTGGTGTCAAGGGACTGGACTGCTAATGCAGAAAATAATTCCTAATATTCAAATATTACATATTTGTAATGTATAGCTGAATACTGTCAAGGCCACAGTCAGAGGCTATTGAGTTACTGAGTTACAGGATGTTTAATATAAGAAATTGTGCCACCAACTAATGTTTGTAACTACCCCCCACTCATAAATTAGACTTTTGTTAGCAGGTTGTTTGACTGTTGAAAGTGGCTGAAGTTGTTTTCTGACTCTTAAAGTTTCATGCTTTTTTTCTCCCCCCAAAAAGTAGGAAACATTCCTACAGAGCCTCTTTCCTGGTTAATAAATATTCAGAAACATTTTTCTTATATAACTGATTAAATCAAAATATGGAAGGATAAAGAAAGCAAAATGGAATGCACACATACATTTGGGGTTTTTTTCTGTTCCTTTGCTCCCTAAAGATAAAAACTAAATAATTTTGTGAAAGGAGGAGAAAAGCTCTCTCTTTCAGCCATGATATAGCTCACCGTTCAAGATTTCAATGTTCTTTACAGAAGTCTAATACTTTCTTATGGAAATAGGCACTGGTTTTTGAAGTGACATGAGAAAGCAATGTAAGACACCTTTAGTCTTTCAGAAATGTTATGACTTTTTCAGCACAGATACATTGATTTTAATATTATATTGCATCGGCTGAAAATTATAATTGTAATTTATAATCTGTTAGTAATTCAGATATATCCTATATCATGAAATAATAATTTTCAATATATCATAAGATAAAGATTCAAAGGACATTATATGAAAAAGTTAATGTTTTGGGGGAGTCCTTGGGTCACCTGTTCTCTTGTCACATCACCATTCTCATGTGGCAGCTACACTTAAGAAATCAACATTTGATTGTGTCTTCCATCTGTCACAGTATCCTACCAAACCAATAGTGCCTGAAATATAACCAAAAACATATCAAATGGCTAAATTCTAAAGCAGTGGAAAAGAACCACTGAATTGCTCAAAAGATAAATATTAAGATATAGAGAAAAGGTGGGAAACTTAAGACTGGGGGGCTGGATGCCACCCCCCTCTCCCGCTCTCCCCTCGGCTTGCCTTGATCTGGCCCCAATTGATTTTTCTATGGGTCAGCATTTTCTATGGGTCCCTAAAAAGGTTCCCTGCCTCTGATATAGAGGTAGGAAGATTGCCTTAGTGTTTGTCAGCTATGGATTGGGTATTGGAGTCCAATCAACTGACCTACTGTTCTAATTAACATTCAAATGTATAGCCATGAGGAGGAGTATATGACACTCAGCACTTGCAAGTTGCCAAGGACTACTGAGAGCAATTTTACTCTGTTTCCATTTCTAGAATAAGTGGCTAAGCCGAAGCCCCATGTTACAGAGGAGAGTGTACCATTCCATGGCTGCTGTCCAAAGGAGGCTTTATGTTTTAGGCGGGAACGATTTGGACTACAATAATGATCGGATTCTTGTACGCCACATAGACTCTTACAGCGTAGACACTGACCAGTGGACGCGCTGCAGTTTCAACATGTTGACAGGCAAGCCTTTTTCATGGAAGGTATAATGAAAGCAGTGCCCTGGGAGGTTTTTTGTTTTATTTTGTTTTACAAGCCCAACTCTTCTCCCTTACAGCACTTTTACAGGACCTCAGTGGAAACGCTCCTGATTTAGGAACGAATGCAAAGCCCAGTGATGTCAACAGGAGTCATTCCCTTGCTTGCTCCTCTAAGGCACAAAACATTTCAGAAGAGGGATCTCTTAGAGCATTGCAAGCTACATTTTCCAAACAATGCACCTAAAACTGGTTTAGTTAAACTGTCAAAATAACAAAAAGATTAAATCGTATTTCCCCTTTCATGAGGTGCTTTATTGTACCCCTGGAAATATCTTTTGAGTGCACACAGGTGATTGAACTGCACCTTGCACACCTTGAAAATATAGTTTGCAGGGTCTGCTGTTAATGATGGTGTTCAGAGTATTTATGGAGATGCATAGATGTCCCATATATATTACTACACAATAGTTAAGACCAGATACCAGAAAAGGGTTTATTTATTACAACTAAATCAGCTCAGAGATGAGCAGATTAGCACTGATGACTGCTGGATTTACAAATTGCTCCTTGACAAGCTTGAGGGACCATTGTAGTAACAGCGAATTGAGTGAAAAGGTGTGAAAGGGGGTGCCCTCATATTGATAGGTACCTTAAATGGGTAAAAGTGGGGAGGCACTACACTTTTTGTTTTAAAATAATTCTCCCTTTTTGTCCTTCTCCCCGCTTCCATGCTTTTTTAAATGTGCAGGATTGGCAGCCTCTGGCTAAGAAATATGTTTGGTTTTACACACCGAGCAGGCAGCATAACAGATCAGTGGCAGTGTGGGTTTCCTGGGTTTGGATGAGTCTGAGTACCTCTGAAGTCAATAGGAACAGAAGCAGGGACCATGCTTCAAACCTGACCTTCAAGGAATGTTTCTGAAGATGAGGAGGATATTTTTCCTCTCTCTGCCTCGAGTGCTCCGTCTCTCTTTTGAGACTGCCAGTAAGGATGGGATGAGAGAGTGTGTTTTAAACAGTGTTTACATTTTTCTATAATGACATTAATACATGAATATTCCTTAAACAGGCTCTTGCTATTTAAAGTAGGATTGTGATTAGTAGAACAACTTCTGTTTTTAGCTGTACCCATCTAACCCCAGAGAATTCAAGAGGTCGCCCAGTTGCCAATTCGGCTTCATTGATATAACAATGTATTTTGTTAAAGCAGCGTATTTGTATTAAACATATGAAAAATACCCTCTCACACACAGTTATAGATATAGGCACAACAGGCTTATTTCCTACTTCAGAGATGTATTAGTATCAACTGTTTCTTACACTACGGAAAAAAATGTTTTTAAAATATACTTTCCTTTAACATTCTTTAAACTTTGCAGCCTGTTCTCTATTCAAGTGTTATCAACTTGGCTTGTACAGTGTGATTTTTAGCATCTTCTCTGTCCTTCAAATTAGCACTCAAATTGCCTTCCTGGGGGGTAACACATCACAAGCGCTTCTCTCCACTTTAGCCACCAGGAACTGGTAGCTCTGAAACTGTCAAGTTACAGAAAATCCCTGTGCATCTTATGAGAGAACTCTCCAACTTTTGATGCTAAACAGAGTTAATTAAAAGATGTGAGTGCTTTCGATTTCCTCTTTGCTTTAGGTCAGAATGAGTCTGGTGTTGCTGTCCACAATGGAAGAATATATTTAGTTGGCGGCTATTCTATTTGGACAAACGAGCCTTTGGCATGTATCCAGGTGAGAGATTTAGGTTCCTTTTGAAGTCTCTGCAAGGGCACTTTTTGCATAGCTGTTATCAAAAAGCAAAATGTATTTGAAGTGGTGAGAGAGAGAGAGATTAGGGATGATTCTTATGCAATCTCTGAGTCTAGAAAAACATACATGGGAAATGTGGATATTAACTGATTTCCAGGTTAGCAATTAGATTAAATACTTCTGCATAAAATCATCTGAGTCTATGGACCGGAATTCTTCTCTTGACAAGATTTGGGTAAAAAATACCCACAGTTGCCTATTACCAGGTGATAGGACACTTAAACTGTCTAAATAGAGGGGGATGTCCTATTAATTTTTCATCCCCTCTTCTTTTCCATAAATTATAGATCTAGTCTAAGATTTGGCAGGCATTGCTTGGGTCCTTAACTCAAATAAGTTTGTTTTTCTCCATTTAAATCACTGTTCTGAGGTGAGGCTGAGGATGAGCCTGGGAGAGGGGACAATCCCCACCCTTTCTTAGTGCAACAGTTTGGGGCCAGGTGAGAAGTGCTTGCCCATGGCAGCTGCAGCAGGCATAAACTGGGGAGGGGTGCATGTCCCTCAATTGTGGGACAGACACACAGACAAACTCTCACAAATATATAGTAAATAGCTGTCACTTTCTCCACCCTGGCCCCTTACTGGCCGCCTCCTATCTGTGGCTGGAGATGGTCCCTCCTAGCAGAACCTTCTTTCCATTTTATAAGAAGAAGCTGAATTGCAGGTACAACCCATTATCCTGGCACAACCAAACCCTGACCTTGTTTTAAGTTATGATAAGAGGAAGCGGTGGTCAGAGCTCTTACCATTTAGGAGTTGTTCTTGAACAAAGGGACTCTCAGATGGACAGAGAGATGCACATTTCTAAAATGTACAGAAAAAAGAGGCCAGAAATAACCAGTAATTAATTGCACTAGGTCAAAATTTGGGCTGCCTGAAGCCTGCCTTAGTTTGAAGCAAGTTTATAAGTATCCCTGAGAGCTCTGCCATTATAACTAGGTACTCCAGTAAAGTCTGCTGCTGCTGTAGAGTCTGTCATAAAAAAAGCAGCTGCCCTCTTGATCCATGACCCTTCATAGATTCCCAAAGCTGTAAATAACCTATGAAAGTGGGATTGTAGAATCACAGAAATATAAGATTGGAAGGAACCTCAGGAGGTCGTCTAGGAAGGACCAAGGATACCTAGTCTTCCTTTAAATTGTTCTTAAAAACCCTCCGTGATGGTTGGGAAGCTCTTTGGGAGCTTATTCAAGTACTTAACTATCCTTATAGTTAGATAACTTTTCTAATATATAACCTGAATCTCCCTTGCTGTCGATTAAGCCTACTCCTTCTCATTCTATTTTCTACTTAGACATAGAGACTAACTGATCACCATCCTTCTTGAATCAGCCATTAACACATTCAGAACTTATTATCAGGACCCTCTCAGTCTTCTTTCCTCAAGACTAAACATGCCCATTTATTTTAAGCTTTTTGTCATTTGTTGTTCTCCTCTTGATTCTTCAGATTGTGAGCATCTTTTCTATAATGTTGCACCCAGAACTGGCCACAGTGTTACAGCCGAGTCCTCACCAGTGCTGAGCAGAGTAGGATGGTTACTTTCCACATCTTACACAACATATCTCATGTTACACATCTGTGCTATGAAAACACCGCAGAATGATACTTTTATCACAACGGCATCACATCAGTGGCTCATCCTATAACCCCTAGATCCTTTTTAGCTTAGCCAGTTATTCATCATTTGTATTTATTCATTTGACTTTTCTTCCCTTAGTGTAATACTTAAAATTTCTTCTTGTTATTTCAGACCAATTCTCCAATTTATAAAGGTCAATTTCAATTCTAATCCTGTCTGTCAAACTTTCCCAGCATTTCTGGACAACACCAAGCTATAAGTGTACTCTCCATTCCATTATTGAAAATATTAAATAGTACCGAAGACCCAGGACAGGTCCCTGTGGGGTCCCACTAAGTAAATCCTCACAGTTCGACAGTGAATTACTGTTAATTACTCTAAAACAACAAGTAGTCCTATAGCTCCTTAGAGACTGAAACCTCATGATACTATATATATTTTTGTTAGTTATGTATTTTTTTATGTCTACACTACACAGAAGATTGACACTGCCACAGTTGATCTTCTGGGGTTCAAATTAGTGCGTCTAGTGAAAACACGCTAATTCGAATGGAGAGAGTGCTCCCATTGGCACTGGTAGTCCTGCTCCTCAAGTGGAATAAGAGAAGTCGACAGGAGTGTTCGTTTCTGTTGACTTCCTGATAAACAGACAACTCAAAAACACAATTTAAGATACGTCGACTCCAGCTACGTAATTAACATAGCCGGAGTTGTATATCTTAAGTTGACTTTCCCTTTCAGTGTAGACCAGGCCTCAAGTGCCATAGGACTAATTGTTCTTTTTAAAGTTACAGGCCAACATGGCTGTTTATTATGCTTTCATTATGTTTTTGTAATCAATTGGTGCCTACCTTATAGTGATTTCATCTAGACCATATTTCCCTACTTATGAAAATGTCAAAATCAAAATATATAACGTCTACAACTTTCTGGCCTCTGGGTCAATAATCCTGTCAAAGAAGGATAGTAGATTGGACTGGCATAATTTGTTCTTCATAAATCCATGTTGGCCATTACATATCTCCTTATTATCCTTCAGATGCTTATAAATTTATTCTTTAATCATTTATTTTTAGTATCCTTCCTGGTAATGAAGTTAGGGAAATATAGACCAGTCAGCCTGAATCCTCTTTGTTCCCCATTTTTTTAAAGTTAGGTGCTACATTTTCTCTTCTCTAGTCCTCTGGGACCTCACTCATCCTCCATGAGTTCTCAAAGATAATCACCAGCTGTTCTGACATTCCCTTGGCCAGTTCTTTATGTACATATGGGTGATTTTTGTCAGGCCCTGTTGATGTGACTACATCTAACTTGTCAAATATTCTTCAACTGTGTCTTCCCCTATTTGTGTGCCTTTCACCTTGTTAATTTTAATTGATGGCCATGAAGGAGCAGAGCCTATTGGTGCCAGAGAATAGTGTCTAGGGCTAGAGGACTAGTACAGCTCCCCTGACCATGCACTCATCAATAGTCCTGGTGACTGGTGTCAGGAAGATGGAGACTGGTGCAGTATTGGTACTGGTTTTCCCAAGGACTGCACCAGTGGTCTCTCAGGTGCTGCTCTGACTGCCATGGGTATCTTGTCCCATCTGGGAGGAGAAGGCAGTACCATGAGGGCCATCAAGTCCTTTGCTGCCTCATATGCCTCCAGCTTGCATAGCAAATCCAAGCAGCTCTCCTGGGTGTGTGTGTGTGCAGGAGGATGGGGCAGGACATGGAGCGCCAGGCTCAACTGAGCCTGTGATGGGGTAGGTGTCAATGAAGCCCTCATTATTGAGGTCAACCCACTCAGGTCTCATGGCAACAGGGTCCTTTGCTGCTCTGGTGGGAGAACTGTCCCTCCCCAGCCTCTTTTTGTGGGGAACTGGTAAGTGAGACCAGTGCTGCCCAGACTGGTGCCTTTGGCAAAGTCTTCCAGTGCCAAGAGTCCTTAGTAGAGTCCCTTCTCTGTGCCACTGCATGGCCCAACAGTGCTGAGGTGCTTGGCCTTGGCTTTGCCAACCAGGGTCCAAATGGAGACACAAAGCAGTCTCTGTTATCACATTTAGCACTGCTTATGCTCCTTCTGTGTTTTTGGCCAATAACTCCTATAGATCTTGCAGCATTCTCTGAGCTGACTGTCACCCATACAGGAAGTGTGTGGGTCACACTTTGGTATATAATTGCTTCAGTCTCTACAAGACTTAAATGCCAGGGATCAAGGAATGCCCCAGTGCCGAGAAGAGAACACCTACTAACTATACTATTTATAATACCTATATTACCAACAAAACTATTTACACTACCGAGGGAAGCAAAGCGAGGGAGTCGCACTTGTGAAGCAAGAGCTACTATCATTCCATCTAACCATCACAGATGGAAAGAACTCAGAGGTGGTGGGTCAGTAGGGCCCATTATTGAGCACCATAAAGGTGTGACTCCAAGGGAGCCCAGGCCAACCTGATGGATGCTGCTAGGGGAAAAAATCTTCCGGATGCCCTGCATGTGCATGTGCACACACTTGATTGCCATTGACATGAAAAAGCACTCAAAGAAGAATGCATTTTCCTTCATCCTGTCTCTTGCTGCTAATATATTTATAGAACCTCTTCTTGTTGCCTTTAATGTCCTGTGGTAGATGTAACTTATTTTGTTCCTTAGCCTTTCTGATTGCATCCTTACATGTTTCTGCTACTCTTTTGGACTCATCCTTAGCAATTTGTCCATTTCCACTTTTTTGTAGGATTGCTTTTTAATCTGCAGATCCTTAAAGAGCTCTTGATGGAGCAATATGAGCATCTTATTATTTTCCCTCTTTCCTGCACAAAATAGCTTGCTGTTGCACCTTCTCATAGTCTCTGAGAAACTACCAATTCTGAACAACTTGATCCCTTATTTTCTTCCTATGGGATCATTATATACCAGTTTTAAGTTTGGTGAAGTCTGCTTTTTTTAATGTCCAATATTTTTATTCTGCTGCTCTCATTCCTTCCTTGCCTTAGAACCATTAAGTCTGTAATTGCATGATTACTTTAATCAAAATTGCCTTCCACTTTCAGATTTGCCTCAATTCCTCTGTTACTCAGAATCAAATCTAAAATGGTTTTCCCCTTATTTTCTTTAACTTCTGGAACAATACTGTCTCTAAATATATTTGCAGAAGTTACTGGACGTTTTGTTTTGCCATACTACTTTTCCAATAGATATCTGAACAGTTAAAATCCCACACTAATATCAGATCTTGTTTTGGATATTTACTATTTTTATTAGAAATTCTCTATCCACCTCTTCCTCCTCCTGATTTGGTGGTAGATAGTAGACTCCTACACGATGTTGCCCCGGTTATTCCCCCATCTGCCCAGAGCCCATTAAATGGTTCAGGGCGGTCACCCGAGGCCCTATGCTTGGGGGTCCCCATAAGACTTAAGAAATTCCCCGGGGGGCCTCCCCCACACTCACCGGCAGCAGCAACAGGAAGCAGAGCAACCCAACCCCAACCTGCTCTGCCATCTCCCAGCCATATCTGGGTTCCAGGCTCAGGAGAGTGCAATGGGTTGGGACCTGGTCTCTCCACTTTCCACTGCCACATTGAATGCTGGAGGGCCACTACCTGTGCTGCCAGCATCAGGCCCCTTGGTAACCTCTTATATTGCTCAGGGAGAGAGCAGAGCTGGTGCAGGAATCCTACAACAGAAGTCTAAACAAAGACCTTAGCTGGATGGCCTGCTACATTCCACATCTTCATGACATAAACAAACAAAGGTTACTTACAGTGTGTACTAAATATTCTTATCAGCTTAATTTAGCATAGACACTCTAATTGACAATTTCTCCCTTCCCCACTTCTCCCTTTTTTTTCCTCTTCTCTCCCCAACATTCCCTCTCTGAGGGTATGTCTACACTCCCCCGCTAGTTCGAACTAGCGGGGTAATGTATGCATAGCGCACTTGCTAATGAGGCCCGGGATTTGAATTTCCCGGGCTTCATTAGCAAGTGCGGTATGCATACATTACCCCGCTAGTTCGAACTAGCGGGGTAATGTATGCATAGCGCACTTGCTAATGAGGCCCGGGATTTGAATTTCCCGGGCTTCATTAGCAAGTGCGGTATGCATACATTACCCCGCTAGTTCGAACTAGCGGGGTAATGTATGCATAGCGCACTTGCTAATGAGGCCCGGGATTTGAATTTCCCGGGCTTCATTAGCAAGTGCGGTATGCATACATTACCCCGCTAGTTCGAACTAGCGGGGTAATGTATGCATAGCGCACTTGCTAATGAGGCCCGGGATTTGAATTTCCCGGGCTTCATTAGCAAGTGCGGTATGCATACATTACCCCGCTAGTTCGAACTAGCGGGGTAGTGTAGACATACCCTGAGCTATTTATTTGAAAACTGGACCCCTAAAACTCCATTCATCTGAAAAGTGGGTTGTGTCCACAAAAGCTCATGATACCATCTACATTTTTGTTAGTCCCTAAGGTGCTGCAAGTCTATTAGTTGTTTAAGTTTTTCAAGCTATACCCCTTTATACCAGTATTCTAGTCATACAATTATCTCACCAAGTTTCAGTGACAGCACTTAAATTGTAATTTAGTTTATGTACTAATACTTCCAGGTGTCCCATAGTCCATGCTTATGTATGGGCATTAGCTGAATGATTTTTATTTTTCTGAGTGAAGCCATGTCCCAGTTTGAGAACCATCAGTGATGACAGTTTTAGTGAGGCAATATATTTATATTTGATACTTGATCTGTCCATTTTCAATGGAAAATTAACTCACATGGGTTTGAATAGGAACACTCTACAGTGCACAAAAATTAACAAACAGCACAATATCAAATTGCGGATTGTACTAAGACACAGTTTATAAGCTGGGAAACCATTGGGCACAGTTTCATCTCCGTTTAAATCCTACTTGACGGCAAGTGAAAATGCATTTCAGGTCCTGCTTTTGAGTGGACATGTCCACATATCACAGAACCACCTGTCAGTCTGCTTAAGAGAGACCCAGGCCAAGAAGAAAAATATATAACAAATGAGAGAGTGTTTTGGCAGAGCGATGAGAGTTGCCTGCATATGCTCTCAGTTGCTGGCATTCTGCCTAGTTTTAACCAGTACTATGAGCCCTTCTATTTTCAAATTCAAAATGCTGTTCCCTCTTTTTGAAGAAAAGCACTTTTCTCTGTATGTCTTCATTTGCTCTGTCATTCAGCCAGCCCTGAGTTCTCTCGCTCCTCTAAATACCAGTTTGACAAATGATTCATATTTCATAGTGATGGTTTAACATCTCCGTGCAGAGTTCTACAATGTGCAGCCATGCAAATGCAGAGCTAGTCGGTGGGATCAATTTTTACTATTTGCTTTTAAGTGATGGTTAGAATAAGGGTTGGATGATATGAACAATAAGACACATAAATAAAATCCATTGGGTTGAGACAGCCATTCCTTGGGTGGTTAAGTGTATATGTGCCTACCAATTAATTTCCTATTTTTTCTGTGATCCTTAAAATATTATTCTCAACGTTTTGGTCCTGCAGGTGCTGGATGTTAGCAAGGAAGGGAAAGAAGAAGTATTTTATGGGCCTACACTTCCTTTTGCTTCCAATGGAATAGCAGCATGCTTCCTTCCAGCTCCCTATTTCACATGCCCCAACCTCCAGACTTTACAAGTGCCTCACCATAGGATTGGCACTATGTGAGAAAAGAAGAATGCACCGGTTATAGAAGCAAAAGGAAGAGAGGGAATGCAGCATACAGCAATTTCACATTTGGATTTATTAAGCATGAACTGCTTCGTTATCTTCTACACATTTGTCTTAAAGTCAATAACAGGCAAAAAAATATATATTTTTTTCCACAAGAGGCTCCACCCCACAATATCTGCAGTTTCTCTCTGGTGCAAATTAGGAACATACACTTCATGCCAACTTGTTTACCACTTTCTCTGGGTGGCAACTTGTGTAAGGAACTTAAATAGAGGTGGGTAACATCTTTGAAAGGTATTGTGAGTGCATTCAGCATTGTGCCTGGCTTATTATTCTTTGCCCATTAAATGGATTGCCAGTGGTACTGTTCAAAGACCATATAATACAATGATTATAAGCTTAAAAAGGACAATATTCTATTATGCTAAATTATGCAACTTCCTAGGTACCTGTGGCAAAAAGGATAAATGCATTGACCTTTAGTTTCCATCTTCATCAGCACTAAAGCTTATCATTTAACAAATCTTTGTTGGCAATTTAGAGTGTGTGAAGCATAATAAAGCAGAAAACAACCAGAAAAAAATTCTCTAAATATATTATTGACATATTCAACTGATATTTTGCATCTCACCTGAAATACAGAAGGACTGAGGTATCAGTAGCTACTGTTAGAGATGACAATGTGTAGATGACTACATGATTAACTGATAAGCCTGGGCGTATTGGTTAATCTTGTTGACTACTTGCATTCCCTCCTTGCTGCCTCTGTATCATGGGGGCGGAGGGAGCAGGAGCCTGGTGCCCGCAAGGAGCTGGCTTAAAAGCCGGTTCCCCAGGAGCACTGGATCCACCTACCCCCACCCTTGCACTATTGCCTCTCAGAAGGGAGGATGAGGTGGGCTGATGGGAGCTGACATACACGGGAATCTGGCTTTCGAGCAGGCTTCCTGCATGTGCAGGCAGCAGTGGTGGGGGGAGGCAGCAGGAGACAGTGCTGAGGGGAGCTGGCTTAAAAAGCTGGCTTAAAAAGCTGCAACTCTGCTGTGCTGTCTGCCCCCACCCTCCTCTGCACACTTAGGGGGCAGGTAAGGGGAGGCTGCCACAAAGCAGTTTTTAAAGTGTCTCCCCTTGTGGACCAGCTCCCTCCTGCTACTCTGCGTTGCTACCTCTGATAGAGAGGCAGCAGTGTGGGATGGCTGAGTGATCCCCAGGAGTGGGGCCCTGGGGACCATTGAATAGTAATGTAACCACTAACATTTCATGCCAGTTACGTGACTGTTCAATTACCCACTAAGATCCCTAGCTATTACTGTGCAACACTATACTGAGCCTGCTTGTCAACGAAATGAAAGATCAGTGTCTATGTTGTTTAAGAGAGTCTACTTTAAAATGTTATCTTCTATCAGACTATCAATTCTTCCTGACACCTACAATCTTTTAATGGTTGGAATAACCTCTTTACTATATAATTAAAATACCATGTACTTAATATTTTAATAACCATTTTGTAAAGAGTTACCATATTTCGAGTTCTCAGTGAACAGTCTCATCTTGTCCAACATATGGTAACACAAATCTCTGGCCTCTGGAGGGTAACCTGCTGTATAACAGTCAATATTTTACTCCTTCGATTTATATAGGGTCTCCATGCAATACTCCAGGCATATGTAAAGTTTATAATAATAAAACCAAACTATTATAGTCTGATTTTTTTTCTGGCCATTGTAACCCCTGCCCTTTTTGATGCTTTTGCCATTTATTTGCATACGTTTTGTAAATCTTAACCAAGAATACTATTAAATGTCTCGATTGATGGCCTATGGATAAATGCACTTTGCTGATCTTTGTCCTTGTAGGGTTGCACCATCATAATATTTGTGCTGATCTCATTACCCAGAATTCCTGTTGCTATTTGTGGTTATTTCAAGTCCAGAATACACAGTACAATTTTTGGAGACCAGCGTTTTGTTCTTAGTCTAATTTGATTATACAGATAGCAACTCTTTTTAGGGTTAAGTTAATAATAAAAGGAAGCTCCAGTTATTCCATCTGATTCTCCTTCTTGGAGTTGTCCTTAGGAAACTTCCCCTTTTCTTTTTCAACAACATCAGAATAGATTTTGTATCAAAAATATTTTATCAATTAGCCTTGACAGCTTAAGGTAGAAAAGTTCCAAATGCATATTTGTCACCTGAAATAATTATCTGAGCACTGTCAATTTTTTTTTCTTTCCATGAACACTCCACTATAAAAAAAAATTAGATCAAGGTATTAGACCCAAGTCATGAGAGCAAAGGTCTAAGAGTCAGGGCCCCCAGATTTGCACATGCAAATGTCATCAACTTCAAGGCTGGTTTTCCCCATCTGTAAAATGTTCATATAATACTACTCAATTCCCAGGTTCTAGAGGAGCTTTTTAAAGTTTGTAAAGCACTGAAATATCTTCAGGCAACTGCTCCCAAGCTATTTTTTGCATTTACACATCTAGTTTTCTTGCTTTGGTATTTTAATTTCTATAAAGTCCACAAGTTGCCCATACGGTTGGCTAACCATTGCTGTGACACTATATTTAAAGAGTTTCTTTTGGAAGGACAGAGGCTTCTATTTATCCGTCTGTTTACCCATAGCAGCAGGCTGTGTTGAAAGCTTCCAAATCTTGGAGAGTTCAACAACTGACAGGTTGGGGAGTGAATAGCAAGAAAAAGTTATTTATCATATTTGCTCTGGGCTTTTGACACTTTTACTGTTCTGGTTGTTATCAATTGTGTCTCCTGGTGAAAGAGCAGTTTTAAATAGCTGTGCAACTGCATAAAATTACTTTTAGGGTTCCACAGCAGAGAGCCTGTTGACAGTGCACGTGCTTCCATTAGTATCAGGCTTCTGCTTCTGCTCCTGCTCCTAATCATCAGACTCCAGCAATCACAGACATCTCTCCTGTTGGCCACTTACCTTCTGCATGCTGTGCTATGCTATTTGCAGCTTTAGTTACAGAACATGCAGACTCGTACCTTCCTCCAAGAGGGAGAAGGAATATTCCTTTTTGGTGCCTAACAGAGTGCTATTTCAGTTTTTACAAGTAAGAACATGCAAAGTGTCTCTCCCTAGTGTCAGTGGGGTATATACAGTATTCTTCACTCCTGGGTTGGTTTGGAGAAGGTACTGGTAGTTTTAACTAACAGCTTGGGTTCTGTAGGAATCCTATGGGGAGAGGCTGAATCATGTCTCCAGCTAGTGCCACCCATTTCTGAGGCTGGCCAGGCTGCAGGCTAATGCCTGTTAGTGGGTGCCTTCCCTAGGCCCAGTCTTCACTCTGTGCAGAGCTTCCAGTGGGGGTGAAATGTACTAATCTTCTGCCAACGCAAATCTTGGAGTGAATCAAATCCACTATTTGTTCCTGCCAACTCATTGTTTTGACACGGGCCACAAGACAAGTCCAGCTGCTATTTTTTGACAGAGCCTTAAGTTGTCACTTTACATTTGGAGCAGAAAAGGAACAGAATGCTTTCCGCATGGCCAGTCTACTCCAGGAGTGAAAAGAGAACACTAGGAAAGATGATAGCAATATAATTCGTGCTTGGGCTTCCAACTGGAGAAGAGTGTGGGTTAATGTTCCAGCTCTCAAACAATAACAGCTCACTCCAGCCGTGTCACCATCTTACTAAGGGAAGATAGAGGTAAGAGAGAATAATTCAGTATTGGGTCTATGACCTGTCGGGATAGAGACCATATGGATATTCATCCTTTGCTTACATTTATTGGCTAAACCTACTAACGTCTGCAAGTAGATCTTTGACTATTCTTAAACCTCTCAAGATTGTGTGGTTCAAGTACTTAGATATCTCTCCTGTGATCTATTTTTTTTTTTAGGTTCCACTGTGGTGGGGCATGCTCTCTGGCCCCCTCCGGTCTGGGCCAATAAGCCCCGTACCAATAAACACAGTTTTAGACTGGCCCTTTAAGGCGAGTCCCGCGGGCCAGAGTCAATAAGCAGAGTCGTCACAAACCCAGTTTAAGGACGGCCCCTTAAGGCAAGGCCTGCAGCGGCAGATCACAGGTACAGCGGGGCCGCACTCTTGGTAGGGGGACCTGGGCCCACCCTATTCCACTGGGTCCTGGCCCAGGGCTCCGAGTGTGGCCGGATGGCATGCCATTCCCTCGGCGGGGAAGTCCTACCAAAACGTGCCGAGGTTCCCAGAGGGGGGAGAGGCGGCTCCCACTCCTGTCCCGGGCCACTTCCTACCTGGTTTGATAGGGTCACTTCCCTTGTACTTGCTAGGTTCTCAACCTTCATGGAGGCACGTCTCCTCGGCAGGCAGCCTCAGTGATGCCCCCCTAGCCTCAGGGTCTCTGGGGGCTTCCTCTGAGGTCGCTGCAGGTCAGGAGCTTCCCTTGGAGGTCCTTCTCCTCCAGCTGCCAACCCAGACTGAGCCCTTCCCCAGGCTTTTATAGCTGAGCTGCAGCCTGGGCATGCCTAGTAGGGTTGCGGGAGAAGGGCCTCTGCAGCTTGCTAACCCTGGCTGGGCCCTGTACCTTCCATGCGGGGCTGCTTGGCCCCATCACATCCACCCATAAAGAGTAATATTTGCCTTTTTATATAGTACATTTCATCCCAAAGGATATAGAGGTGCTTTATCACTTGTACATATAGGCACCACATTACCAGTCACTGAAATTCAGCCATCTTGTGTGACCCTAACAAAATGCTAAGACACTGATCTGTCACTGATGAAAAAGCAAAGATAACATGTTTACTTTCCTAGCATCTTCATTTTCCCTTGGGAATTTCACATCCAAGCACTGACCAAAGAAATAGTGAGATGTTATGGCTCAGTTGTCAATATGACGAAAATGTTGTAGAATATGTATGTTTAAAAAAAATGCATTTATCTATTGTATACGATATAGTCATGACTTACTACTTTTTGGGTAGAGTCCCTGGACCTGAGACATAATTACAAAAGTTTGTACTGTTTTGCCTTTAGGTTTTCCTAGGACCATCATAACCCTGCCCCCCATATATAAATTTGGTACATCAGTTGCAGAATCAGGAAGAAATAGATAATTGAATGTTCACAGGAGCAGAAACAACATAGGCAGAATGCGGAACAAGTGCGAAAAAAGGCGGCATCTGTTTACTGAAAATTAGAATGTAGAATAAATTAGGAGGGCAAGGTTAAAATACTTCCTCTGCAGTCAGAATTTGCAGGGAAGGAAGTCCTTGGTAAGTGGTTTAAGAATGTAGATTATGTAAAGAGATAATATTTGTTTCGGGGAAAAAAATTTTTTTTTCAAAATAATTTGGGAAAAGGCAAGAATACAGTGGTATTTTCAACAGTGATTATCTTGTTATAATACAAATCTACAGTGATTTTTCTATGCTAGTACTAAAAAAGTAACAATATATGAAGAAATCTAGATGTCTTTGACTGGCAATGTTCCTGCAGAAGGTATTATTTAACATCACCACTAATATGTAACTTCCATCTTCTATATGCATGTCCACCTCTCTCCTATATTTCCTTAATGAATTTAAATTGCTTATATTTTCAATTTACCGAATGTTTTGCCTTCAGTCAGTTTGAATATTTTCTAATGTGTACCTTTAATACGCATCTGTGTAAATAATACCAACTGTGAAACAAAAGCCTACAGTATGGCAGTCTAATTTATAGCACTAGCTCTGCCAAGCTTTGATAATGTTCACAGAAATCATCATGAGGGCTAAGTTGATAATTTTATATTAACTTTTTTACCAAAAGAGACAGAAGAGGGAAATCAATTTACAACTGATAAATATGGGGTATTCAGTTGGCACTAGGATACATCAATGTCCTGTTGTCAGAGGTAAGTTTTTCGAGACTGTAGGGCTTAACAAGTTGGTCTAGAAAAGTCAGTGAATTTTGGCCCCAATGCTGTAAGCTCATTGCTGTGGGCAGACTTCTATATATGTCAGAAGACTATGTAGATCAAGTTACAGAATTAGAGTATTTGAGTAAACTGTTGCCTTTCACTGTTGCGGAGGCTCACATGAACTCTCAAAAGGTTTTATTTAAGTAGCTCACAGAAGTTTGAGACAAAAGTAACTTTCTAACCATTCATACCTCCGTGTATTCTAAAAAAACAAAAAACAAAAACAAAAAAAAACAGAATATAACTGTGCTCTGACATGTTGACATAGCTGCAGGTTATCATCTTCAGTATATTTTCATAACCATTACTAACAAGACTGATTACATCCGTTTAAATACAGTAGCAGCTAAAATGATTTAAAAAATTGTGTTGAAATGAAGTTCCTAAAAAAACTGCTCAGCATACCTCATTTTCAGAAGCTATAGAGGGGGAAAAAGAGTACTGCAGTAATGCTTATTATCCATTTCTTGAGAGAAATTGGCAGTGTCATTTAAATGGACAGTTATGGAAGTTTTTATAAGTGATATGTAAGTAGTGTGTGTTACTGTAAGCTCATAATCTGTATAATTACACCAAATTCTGTACAGATCCTTATTCTTTGCATATGTGAACAGCTTTATTCCATTATAAAAGAGTAAAATTATCTTATGAGCTACTTCATTTTGGGAAATGCCTCCTTGCTTCATTTTTTGTCAGTGAAAATGGAACCAAAACATAATATCCTGTTTTTGCTTCCCATTAACAATACAAAAATGTAAAATTCTTACAAAATATATGTACATTTCCATGGGAATAATGGAAATTAAAGTGAATTTTTAACAATGCTTTTTCCCCCTTTCTTATTTTAGGTAGTCATTTTAAGGTTAAACCCCACCCTGCAGTTTTTTGCATTGTGTTAGAACGTTCTATAGTAAAGTGTGAGGGAGCAGAGATCATCACTATCCTGAATTTTGTAGCAGAGGAAATGTATAAAAAAGCATTTTGTTATTACGTTATCAGTGCTGTGTGTCTCACTGAGGGTAGCCTGCCTCATGTACACAGTGACAGCAGTGAAACAGAGTAGAAAGATGTACAAATGAAGCATTAGTTGCACTGACAAAAACACTCCTGCTGATGTATTTTATGTGGTTGGGGGTAGAAGAATGACATTTAATGAACCACTGCAGTAGTTCTGAAAACTTATTTAATATTTGATCAAAATACCACGAATACTGCAGTCATGTGATTCATCATCATTCCCAGAGATGATTGTCATAAATCTCTTAGGTTTGTCCAGCACAATTTATGAATATGTGAGCTGGTGACTTTCTAAGTATTTAAGTCTTTTTGAATTCCACTAGCATTTCTTGCTACAGCTTTATTCTTCCTGATTATGTATGTAAGTCAGAAATGCTATAAAATGCTCAAGCCTCCGAGCAGTATTACTTTAACAATGTACTGCAAAACACTGACCATTTTGTGACCATTTTTTGGAGAAGTACTCCATTTATATACAAACGAGGACTCCACAGGAAAAACCTGCAAAGGGCCGAATCACAAGGATTGAACAAAGCTGGCATAAAAAGATTTAGTACTCCATGAGGCTGAACAGAATCTTCAGTCTCTTGCAGGCACGATGCCCGTAGAACAAAGTAAAACTCTTGCTGCTGTAAGTGGGGAAGGAGAGGAAAATGTGGCCCATTGCTACCCTTGCTTAGGGTTGCTCAGATGATCCACAAAATGCAAAATCAGTTGGGCAAATGTAGGCTAGCCCAAAATCCCCTCGCTGAAGAGACTTTCCTGAGATCTTCCCCATAGAACAGGAAAGGCTTTCCCCCTTGTCTGGAATCTTCTGTGCAAATGGCCCTATATTTAGCAGATTTGCAGGTTTTGAACCTTCTGTAGGTATAGAATGCCTCCCATTCTACTATTTGATTGTAGTACCTTATCAATGAATATTTTATTTAAAATGAAGTACTTTAGCTTTTAAAGTATTCAAATGTGGTGTTCATATTAAAGGAAATTTAAGAGTTGAATACTCTGGGTATACACATGCAATATTCAGGGTCTTTACAGATACAACTTATAGCAGACATGACCAAGAGACAGTTGGGTTCACAGACTTTCCTTCAATGTATTTTAATTCAGCAGCCTTTTTTGCTAGTGAACTGTTTTGAGAGAATAGTAGACAAGCCACCCTATCACATAATACTTTGCAAAAGCCTTGCTCTCAAGACTGTCAGTCACATTTGCCCATATCCACACCAAATAATTAAATCAAACCAAATTGCCTATTTAGCAGTAGTTGAGTGATATAATATAAAATGCTTTATTTCTGTTTGCGTTAACATTTTGATACACAGAAGAACAATAATTTCCAAACTTTTTAAATTAGTTCGTCATGCATCAAGAGCAATGTCATTTTCATAAAGCAGTGTTGCTATTTTAGAAACTTTAGACAGTACCAACTCTACCTTTTAAAAACTCACTGAGCACATCATTAAATAATTAGTTATAACATCTGCCCTACCTCGTCTTTGAAAGTCAAAGCAGTTACGTGAGGAAGAAATACTGAATTCAGACATCTATTCTGCTGTCTATGTGATACAACTCAGATTTTGAAGGCATCTCTTTATCTTAGTGGGACAATTTTCATAGAGGAGGAAAAAAGCCTTTTAGAAGCACAAGCTTCTTGAGATGAATACAACTTCTTCCATGTGCAGAAGCTTACAATGGAAGTTCAATAAGTCACTTTCATAATGAAAAGAGCATCCGTGTCCTGCTCTATTAAGTAGGCTTTTAGTTACTACACTAGCTGATGCAACAATAAGTCGATTTAGGGAAAACATTATCTGTTTCTACTTGATAGGGAGCACAGTAACAAAACAGATGCTGCTTCCAACAAAATGTTAGGGACAGTTCTGGAGCTGTAGACAGACACAAAAAAGACTCTCCTCCTTCCCCATTAACTCTGAAGTTAAGGATGAAAATAGATAACCCATTCAATGATGTTGCTAGAATGTGCACACACACGCACTCCCCCCCCCCCCCCCCCATACCCCAGGAATAAGTCTTCAGAATCCATGATAATGAATCAAAAATGTGATTTCTACAGAATCTTAAATGAAGGTTCTGAAACGTCAGTTATGTCAGAGAAAAGTTAGGGTACACTAGAGAAAAGGATCAAGGACACAGGGAGATATTTGAGAAATTCAGCTAGCCAGGCACACAATTTAAATCACACTATGAACTAATTAAAGAATTTGAAATCAGTGTTCCCAAGTCCATTGGCGTTCTTGCTCTCTCCCTTTAACCTCTGTCTGGGTTAAACTAACTAATGAAATTCATATAATTATGGAGCGTTACAATAATACTACAAATGTGCATTTTACCAGATTTTTTAGTTTAGTTAATTTTTTTAAGAGGAAGAAGAGGAAATTACTATTTCAGTTTGATATTAAGGAAGCTGAGACTTGCTTCTTCCATGCTCCCCACCAAGGACAACAGAGACGAGGTTTTAAGTTGGAATCCGAAAGATCCAAAAGGTTTTTAATATATAAGCAAGGTTAGGACACCTGTCTCTATTCTGTGAAACATCTACAGAAGCCTTTCTATTAATGTAAGCTGGCCTAACCCTGACCCAGCTTTTGGTGAACACATTGCATTCCCTGAGCTCAGCATGCTTACATGAAGTGCTTTTGTATGCTCGGCATGAAAGCCTGCTGCCTGACTCCCAGCGTTCTACACATCACACTTATTTCTGATCTATAGAGCACATCCCCATTAGAAATTTAAAAATTAAAATTTACTTCAAAACACATAAATGAGACTTGTGCCAAGTCATTTGAGTGCTAATGAAAAAGCCAAACGTGTAGTGTCTTCCTATGAATTTTACGTGGATGTTTCTAATATTTAATGGATTTCCAGTATCTTTCAATCATCAACTGAAAGACAAAAACATGCGAATTAGTCTTCATGTCTGCCAATATTCAAATGCTACATGTACTGTTGGAAAATCAGCTTGTTGCTTTGAAAAAGCATTAAATAATTATATTGGTGAAGATAAAAAATGTGGACAGTACATTATAACAACAGGCACTAACTCTGCAAACACTTCAAGGGGAAAGAATTAATCGCCAATTAATTGTTAACTCTTCTCATTTTCCAGTTTTAGTATCTCGTTTTGACCAGCTTCTGTAAGGTGAGATAACAGTCTTTTATAGGCTTCTCTGTTAAAAACAAAAGAATAGAACATGTTACTTAAGCAATACCATAGAACTTCAAAGTAAAAAGTACATAATTTTCATGCAAACTATTCATGTAAAGTGATGTAAAACCAGAATCTTTCTTCCTTGCTTCTGTAGTTGCTTTGTTACTATAAACTTTTAGCAAAGTTTGGTTGAAAGTCAAACAGATCTTGAAGATAGTCCACTTCCTAAGTACATTTTCATAGACTTTAAATTTTAAACTGTGTTATTTGTTTAGCTGCAGCCAAAAACAGAATCATGTACAGAGCTCACTGTGTTACAAATGTCCTCAACCAAAATTTAATATGTGGTATGTAGTTTATGGAGTGGTGGTTCCAAAACAGCACATGATGATGATCTGCTACAATGGACTTAGAAAGATGATTAAAGACCTTTCCAGATCATTGTCATTAGTTTATTATTTTTCTATAATTTTCTTCACAAAATATTCTTCTCAATCATCTCCACAAATAGGTTGCATAGATTTACTGTGGCTTTCATGTAAGCATAACACATGATACTATCATTACCAATTGAATTTCTTGGCTTTGTTTCTGATTTACATGGGATTTAAACTTTAACAACTATAGTAAGCATGCATATAGTAATGCATAATTATGTACAGAGATATTTATGCTTAGACTATCTGGATTTGTGAAAGCTTTTTCCTAGGACGACTGTACTTTCATTGGTTATGGATCAACTTTAATAAAGTTTTTACACATTTATGGAGAAAAGAGTGTGGAGACCATTAAGACCAGATCTTAGAGTATATATTATTAGGTTATTACTAAAGAAAACTTGACAGTTTGGTAATCCCCTAGTACATTCTTGGGGAAGTTCAAACAACCTGTCTTTTTACTCACTGGTAGCAAATGGATGAGCTTTACTTTATTGACAGTATAAAAACATTATATAAACATGTCTCCAGAATACATGATCAAAAGGTAAAATTCAGAGAATTTGAAAATCTTTCTGTGAATAGTGGAATAGCAGTTTAACGCAGCATGTATGTATTTAAAATAGAAGCAACTTTTTTGTAGTGGGAAAGGGAGGCTATAAAACAAGAGAAACCCAATAAAAAGCATGGCATTTTATTTTATATTTAATTTATTTCATTTGTATTCTTTGTTGAAAATGAAACTCGCAGCTTGGACAATGACAAAAATATGCTGATACACTATATATATATTATGGGTTAGAATTTGCATGACTGTGTAAAATAAAAATTAAATATAATTTATTGCCCCAATCCTGCTAAGTATTACATACTTGCTTAACTTTACATATTATGGGTAAAATCCAAACTTCACTGAAGTCACATCTAGGATTTCACCCTTTCAATAGTCCCAGCCCCCACCTGGCAAGGAACTTAAGCAAGAACATAACTTTAAGCACTGCGGTAGTCCTAGAGACTAAGTCTTTAAGTGCCCTACAACATTTGCAGCTGTGCCACTGTAGTGCTTGTGGTGTAGATATTCTCCCAGGTTTCTCCCACCAGCACAGCACTGTCCACACCGATGCTTAGGTTCATATAATTCACTCAGGGGGATGTGGATTATTCATAACCCGGATTGACGTAAATTATGGTCATACCTAAGTACTTAGCTGAACAGAGAGCTAAAATATCGATAGTAAATATATATATATTTCATGATTGGCTAAATCAACAACTAGGGATGCTACATATCAATAACTGAATAGTTGATTAACCTCATGAATTTTCATTAATTACTCAACTATTCTATAGTCCCCGGTGGTGGGGCTGGCAGACAGAGTATTCTGGCCCCACTCTTATGCTGCCACTGTGCACTGCTGCTCTGTATCAGAAGCAGCAGGGTGGCATGCCAGGCAGGAGCTGGTCCATGAAGGGAGCCAGCTGCCTGCCCACATAGATCCTAATACAGTTTAAATGCAGAGCCATAGCATGGGTAGGTCCGGGACCCAGCCCGAACTAGGACTGAGCTAGGCTGCTGGCCAGTCGGCTAAAAACGTTACTGGCACAGAGGAAAGGAGGAGGGGATGTGTGTAGTCTATAGCATTAAACCTATAAGCTTTTGTTTATCAGACTACACTATTACATCCCTATCCACAACCAATAAATGCAAGAGAATAATTGGTACCTAAGAGAATCAATATTTTCTACATGGTTAAATGCTATCCTCATGTTGGAACAAACATTATACATGTTTTAATGTGCATAGTACTCAAAATTACTGACAGTAAGTATATTCAGTATTTTTCCTTCCTTTAAATTTTAACCTCTGTTCCTCTCCCTTCTGTCTCCTGGGAATGAAAAGGAACACCTCAACTTATTACAGAAAACTATCACTACCCTATTATGTTGTTTTTCTTTTGGTGGAAAAAAAAAATCAGAACACCAATCTCTTACTAGTGCTTAGAACCACAGCATGCATTCTATTTTCATGACTTATAAAAGTGAGACAAATTATACCTTTATGCATGAAAAGATGGAATCATTGCTCCTCATTTAGAATCCTCTAAGTGAGCACCTTCCTTAATATACGTATCTGCATTACTGTTCACTCTGTAAGACTGAGTTCTTGACCCTTTCTCTCATGCTCTATTGGGAAATCATACATTCCTAGTAAATTTCTGGTTCATTGTAAGCTACAGCTTGGTAACTTTTTAGTATCCTCTTTTTGTTTTAATTCTAGTAATGTATGTATATTTTATATAAAATTAAAATGGCTCAGAGGATTTCACGGAAGGAGCTGAAAGCATCAGCTTTTATTTTAAACAGGATAATTAATCCTTAAAATTAATCTATGGATATTTCTTATGGCAAGCCTGGATCAGATATTTACTATAAAGTTGCTGTATAAACCTTAAAATAGGGACTTATAGCAGAACTGGGGAGAGGAACTAAACAGATTGTAAGCTCTTTGGAGTAGGGACTTACTTTCTGTTTTGTGTTTGTATAGCATAAAGAGATCCTGGTCCATGAGTGAGCCCATAAATGCTAATGTTGTGTAAATAACCATTATTTATTTATATGAAAACTACCAAGCTCTGCATTAAATTGTGTATTTTTGTAACCGTGGGCTCAAAAAATCTGATAAAGTACTTCATGATTCTAAGCCATCTGTAGGCGCTGTATTCGTGTTTAAAAAAAAAAAAAAAAGTAAATTTCTGGCTGAACATACCTCTACATCAGTTACACGAAACCTGTGCTGCAGTGCCATCCGTCAAGAGAATATAGCTCTGTTGTTCACTGACAAAAAGCAATAATAATACAAAATGTACCTTTGTGCAGTGTTTCTGCCAAGCCCTTGTTTGTGCTCTGAGTCCTTCAGGGACTGTGTGATTGTGGGAATCAGACTGATAACTAGAGGCTGATCCAAAACTGCCACTACTTCCAAGATGCTGTAAACCTGATGATCGTATAGTGCAGTATAATCCTGGATAAACTGCCTGAAGGAAAAACAGGGGCACTCAATGCAAGGTCAAAACAAGTTAGAGAACACTGAAAAGAATCAACACCAAAAGCACCTAGAATGCATGGAGGTTTTCATTTTTATCCAAGATACTTTAGGAGCTGCATTTTCAAAGATCAACTACAAGATCAGCATGTACAATTATAAAATTGTCACCAATGAAACTTAAAAGCCCTGAGATCCCACAAACTGTTTCATATGGGCTGACCCCTGATGCCATGGCACTCTGCCTTGCTGAAATAGGAGTGGTTTTGTATGCAGGAGCTTGCAGGATCAGATCTTAAAAATATACCACAGACAAAGCCTCCAGGGTCAAGTTACCAGAACTAATAGAGTCTTGTGAAACCCCATGGCACCTCAAATCTATCTTAGACAGTGTCTTGAAGTGCACATCTTAGCCACTTTGGGTGTCAGAGGCCTATAAAATGGCAGGTATTGGAACAGGAAGTGAGGACATGATAAATTAGACATAAAATGTCTCCTAAAAAAAGGTTACATTATGTAGTGTGGGGGCAAACTGGTGTGCCAGTACAGAGCCCTACTGATTTCAATGAGACTGTGCACATAGCTGTCTGCCTGCATACTACATAGTACAGGATCATGGACTAGGCTTACAAAGTTTCTTTGGGCACTATGCTTATACAGTTTGTCCATTGTCTGTATGTGGGGAATTGGATACATGGGCAATACAATCCACAAGTTTTGTAAAAAAGCTGAATTTTCACTGAAAAAGCTGAATCTCACAAATTGGGAATTTCAATAATAAAAAATGTAAAAACACCCAAGAACGGCAAAGCAAAACAGTCAGATGGGTGGTCAAGGCAGTTCCTCACTCTGGTGCTTTGAGTGTAGAAGGTTGAATCCCATAAGAGACTTTAAAATACTCTACCACTAAAGGCTTCTGCTTAAACTCCCCAAGGTCACGTTCCCTGTCCTTGAGTAGTAGGCTGCCACCACCAAGATGCAAAAACTCTTTGGGAGCCCACAAAGACACTTGGGAAACTTTTTCCTACAGGATGCTCTCAACTCTTTAATCCTCCTGGAAAGAGTTTGAAAACAAACTGTAATTCTTAATAGCTGACTTAGTAGTTTCAGGCACAGGCACACGGAACCTCCTGCCTTCTAGAACACAGCAATAAGATCATAGTCTTAAAAAGGTGATTTTATTAACAAAACAAAAAGACATACTTGGCTGCTAGGTGTTACAGAGCAATGGGAAAAGGCAAGATTTAAAACAAGGAGAATTACAATGTACGGGGAAAGGCAGAACATGGGCTCAGCAGAATGGAGTCCAACAAACCCAAAAATATAGAAAATAACCTAGTCATGTCTGACTAATGTTGGTGCCTGTGGCACCGTAAGGCTTATCTACACTACAGAGAAGATCAAAGCTGCCGCTGTCAATCTTCCAGGGTTCAAATTAACAGAACTAGTGAAGATACGTTAATTTGAACCGGGAGGACGCTCCCGTCGGCAGCAGTAGTCCTGTTCCTATGAGACGTGAGTGAAGTTGAAGGGAGCTTGTGCTCACATCCACTGTGTGGATGGCACTAAAATGTGATTTAAGATACTTTGACTCCAGCTACACAATTAACATAGCTGGATCGGCATATCTTAAGTCAACTTTCTCCTTTAATGTAGACCAGGCCTTAGAGACTAACAAAAATATATATAGTATTATGAACTTTTGTGGGCAAAACCCACTTCCTCCCATTCATCACATCTGCCTTTGAATGATGTGCACTTTTGGCCTTTGGTATTTTGCTTCTTCACCATTCATTCACCCAAGGAGTGTCTCTCCTCATGGTGGCAATACATCCTGCTGTTTTGTCTTTCAAAACAATATGGAAGACACAAGAAAATGTGAATTTTTTGCTTTCACTTATTAGCCAGCCAATGTTTTAAACTACTGCCAAGAATGCAACTATTTAAATGCCATAAACAAGTAACAACACATTAAGTTCGGGATAATTAGTTATTTAAAAAAAAGGTTTGCTGTCAAATGCCTTGAAAAAAGCTGCAGTGCTAGCTATTTCTGATTACCTAAACACAAAAGTCAGTTGGGTGGCAGGTTCTCCTCTTGACCCGGCTTGGCAGCCTTCTATCATGTACTGCAGAATCTCAGTAGATAGCTTTTTAACTGTAAATAAAAAAATCACAAGATTCATACAGAGCTCTTGAATTGACTATATGGAGAATAGTTCTGATGAAGTTTTTAATTGAGAAAAAAATGGCATAACCTTCCTTTGATGTAAGTAAAATGTCTGTATGAGAGATTAATTAGGTTGGCTATAAAAACAGAATGATTTACATTATTCAACAGAATTCTTACACCGCCCCACTGTTATTTAAATCTGTAGATTTTAAGCATGGTCCCTTAAAAGGGGAAAATGTATATTTTAAGCAGTGTCTCTGGAAGAAGCACTTGCTCCATGAAAAAGGAGGTTTATAATTCAGTTTAGGTTTTGTTTGTATTTACTTCCTTTTCATGCCAAATATAATCATGCCATTATACCTGCTCAGTTCCTGGTTTTAGTTTTATCTACTATCACCAACAGTATTTGCTATCTTCTTTCTCTTCCTTGTTTTGTTTTTTTAAATATGTAATATATTTGCCCTTCCTTCCTTCCCATTTTATTTGGGATAATACTAATTTACAAAGATAACTTTATTCTTTCATCAGCTTGGAGCGGTATTCAACACTTGGTTATGTAGGGGTCCTGGCCTTGGCAGAAAGTCAGCCTACATACCAGGGTAAGACTTAGCTAACTCATGCTTCAAGAGGGGGTCTAAAACTAAACAGTTCAGTAGCAAAGTGGATGGTACAGGCTGGGAAACAGGTGGCAGTGGCTGGTAGAAGGTTACTGGTTCAAGTGCATCTAAAAAGCTACTTGATCACATAGCACCTTAGGAAAAGGCAGGGGGGAAGCTCCCAGCGACAGAGGGAAGTGAAAATTGCACCACCACACTGACTACCTGCACTTGGGAAGGGTGAATTGAGTTATTTTTATTGGCAGGTTGTGCGATCAAAATTAAACTCAGAATTGTTCCCTGTTAATATTAATAATAATAATTCTCACTACTGCGATGGCTTTGCAAATCAGTACACTGCTTTAAATAATTCAATGAAATATACAGCCTTTAGAGGTGAATACATGGCAGAGTTCTTCGACTGCTGTAGTCTCAAAGCCCTACATCAGGACAAACCTCCCTCTGACCACAACTTTTACCAAGGGAGGCAGAAAAAAGAAAAAGACAGACAGACTGGAAGTGCTCTTAAGGAGCCTGGAACTGCTGACCCTTCCATTGGTGAGATGGTGTCACGAGTGCGGAAAAATAGATGTGAAGCAAGATGCTGCTGCCTTTGCCCCAAATATCTTGGAGAGAGAAGTCTCAGAGCAGGTAAAGAACAGGAAACAACAATGTACACTTTGCCTTATCATTCTGCCAATGTGCCTCAACCTTCTCTGCTGTGTAACAAACCTCCCTACTTGGATGAAAAGAGCCAAGTAAGTATAACATATTACATGTGTACAAACAACTTAAAGTTAACAAGCATCTCACCTTGTGTTTCATTAACTAATACCAGGCATTTTAAAACAGTAGGGAGAAGCAACTCTACATCACATGCTTCAGTGCTCTTGGTTCTTTGCAATACTTGGAGGATGAAAGCGAGAACAGAGGCCAGGCGTGGAGGAGGGGAGTTACCTTTGAACTGAAGGTAGTTTTCACTGGAAGAAAAGAAAAGCTCAGTCCATGACTTCTTTTCTCATTCAACAATGGCACAACAAAATATTAAATAGAGTATTGGCATATTTCAACAGGTGAGCCATTAAGTAAATTTCTTTCATTATGTAGGATCAGCTGATTCTTTTTTGTCTTAAGTCTTATAAATTACTTTTAATTTGGGATAAGGTGCCCCAATTTGAAAAGAATAATCCCAATATTCATAGGTTTGTCTTACCCATCACCTCGCACCAATTTTTCACACTTGCTGTGTGGTCATCATACTAACAATTCAGCAGAGTGCTACAGTGTGGGAGGCTTACATGTCATCTATTATTGTTCGAACCCAGAAACGGTCACAATTATGGTAAAATACTCATATGACTGCAAAAGCTGAATCTGCAAAACTCAACTGAACACATGCAAATGGCTACTTGTAAGCCACAGTACTCGAGGACATATCCTTAAATGTATAGGCTCTTTTCAAAACCATGCAGTATTTGACCCTTTGGATTTATGCTCTCTGGGCAAAATTTCTCAGATACCCATATGATATCTCTACATCAATTGGGCGTTCCCCTTGGCTACATCTACACTGGCCCCTAATTCCAGAAAAGTCATGCAAAGCAGGTAAGTCAGAATAGGGAAATCCGCGGGGGATTTAAATATGCTTCAGGCTGGCGGGTTGTCTGTGGGCAAGGACCGGCCTACCTCCCAAGGCCTGTGAAAGCGAGGGATCATTGTCCAGGATGGGTTGTAGATCACTAATGATGCGTTGGAGAGGTTTTAGCTGGGGACTGTAGGTGATGGCCAGTGGCGTTCTGTTGGTTTCTTTCTTGGGCTTTTCCCGTAGCAGGAGGCTTCTGGGTACACGTCTGGCTCTGTCAATCTGTCTCCTCACTTCCTTGTGTGGGTATCGCAGTTTACAGAATGCTTGTTGAAGATCTTGTAGGTGTAGGTCTCTGTCTGAGGGTTTGGAGCATACGCGGTTGTACCTTAGTGCTTGGCTGTAAACAATGGATCGTGTGGTGTGACCTGAATGCCTCCAGCTTCCATTCTGGAAAGTGTAGCGGTTGGTAGGTTTTTGGTATAGGGTGGCATTGATGTGACCGTCACTTATTTGTACCGTGGTGTCCAGGAAATGGACCTCCCGTGTAGATTGATCCATGCGGAGGTTGATGGTGGGGTGGAAGCTGTTGAAATCATGGTGAAATTCTTCCAGAGTCTCCTTCCCATGGGTCCAGATGATGAAGATGTCATTGATGTAGCGTAGGTAGAGAAGGGGTGTAAGTGGACGGGAGCTGAGAAAGCTTTGTTCCAGGTCAGCCATAAAAATGTTGGCGTATTGTGGGGCCATGCGGGTGCCCATAGCAGTGCCACTGGTCTGAAGGTATATGTTGTCACCAAATCTGAAATAGTTGTGTGTGAGGATAAATTCACAGAGTTCAGCCACCAGTTGTGCTGTGGCATCATCAGGGATACCGCTCCTGACAGCTTGTACTCCATCTGCATGTGGGATGTTTGTGTAGAGAGCCTCTACATCCATGGTGGCTAGGATGGTGTTTTCTGGAAGATCACCTATGCATTGTAGTTTTCTCAGGAAATCCGTAGTGTCACGGAGGTAACTGGGAGTGCTGGTGGCGTAGGGTCTGAATAGAGAGTCCTCATAGCCAGACAGTCCTTCAGTGAGAGTGCCAATGCCCGAGATGATGGGGCATCTGGGATTTCCAGGTTTGTGGATCTTGTGTAATAGATAGAACAACTGTGGTCGGGGCTCTAAGGGTGTCGATTTGTTCCTGTGCTTGTGTAGGGAGTGTCCTGAGCAGATGGTGCAGTTTCTTAGTGTATTCCTTAGTGGGATCTGAGGAAAGAGGCCTGTAGAATTTGGTATTGGAGAGTTGTCTGGAAGCCTCCATTAGGTAGTCAGGCCTGTTTATGATGACAACAGCACCTCCTTTGTAAGCCTCTTTGATTATAATGTCAGAGTTGTTCCGGAGGCTGTGGATGGCATTGCGTTCTGCACGACTGAGGTTACCAGGGAAGCGATGCTGTTTTTCCACAATTTCTGCCTGTGCACGTCGGCAGAAGCATTCTATGTAGAGGTCCAGACTGTCATTTTGGCCCTCAGGAGGAGTCCATGTGGAGTTCTTCTTCTTGTGCTGTTGGTGGGAAGGTATCTGTGTGTCAGTGCACTGCTCAGTGTTGTGTTGGAAGTATTCCTTGAGACGGAGACGGCGAAAGTAGGCTTCCAGATCACCGCAGAACTGTATCATGTTAGTGGGGGTGACGGGGCAAAAAGAGAGTCCCCGAGATAGAACAGATTCTTCTGCTGGGCTGAGTGTGTAGTTGGAGAGATTGACCATATTGCTGGGTGAGTTAGGGGTACCACTGTTGTATACAGAACTTCCATTGTGTAAGATGATTTTTTTTTCTTTTGTTTCCAGGAAATATCCACCAGTTTTCCAAGGAAAACATACAGGCCTCCAAAAACAGGCTACCAAAATATTGCAAGACCTCTTAGTCAATTATTTTATTTCTTATATGTTTCCTGATTGTCTAAAACTCTAAATTTATTCACAGTTAATATGAATTGAGGCTTTTTTAACACAGTTGATATTACTTCACCTTTGTCAACATTATATTGTAAAGAGATAGACAACCTCTGCCTCTGTTCAGTCAAAATAAATACAGCAGGCTCACATATAAAATGTATAGTGTATAAACCTGAAACTCTGTGGCACAAATTAATTTTGATGTCAAGCACAATTTGAGTATTCCTCTTTGGTGACTTCAAATGTTTTTCACCAAGAGGATGCAAGAATCTGAGCCATGCTTAGTCAAATTAGGAACGAGTTAATTCATTTGATAACATTTCATTTATTCATCAGTAAATATATTATATTATATTATAATAACTTATGAAACTGCAAAAAAACTGGAATCATAGAATACTAGAACTGGAAGGGACCTCGAGAGGTCATCAAGTCCAGTCCCCTGCCTCATGGCAAGACCCAGTACCATCTAGATCAGGGCTACTCAACACGCGGCCTGTGGTCCACTTACAGCCTGTTTGTTTGTGGCCCGCAGGTGGGAGCCAAAATAAAAAAGTAGTCAATTTAATGGTCTTCTGCTGATATGTGTTTTAGTAGTTAAATTCCTGGACTGTCGTGGTTTAAAAGTGCTGTCATATGGATGGAAATCGAGTAAATATTGCATTTTATTAATATCAGTGGAATTGACTTAAATGGGGCCTGTGAGTTGTATAGTCTTGCCTTAATTTTTGTATTTATGCCCATCAGTGTGAAAGAAGCTATTTTCATATATATTTGCTTGTATATGCAACCACACTTAAGTTGCGACCCTTGTCATGTGCTGTGAGTATCATTGTGGCCCCCTGGGCTTCCAAAGTTGAGTAGCCCTGATCTAGTCCATCCCTGACAGATGCCTATATAACCTGCTCTTAAATATCTCCAGTGATAGAGATTCCACAACCTCCCTAGGCAAATTATTCTAGTGTTTAACCACCCTGACAGGAAGTTTTTTTTCCTAACATCCAACCTTTGATGCAATTTAAGCTCATTGCTTCTTTTCCTATCATCGGAAGCCATGGAGAACAAATTTTCTCCCTCCTTCTTGTAACACCCTTTTAGGTACTACATAACTGGCCAGATAGCTAAAAGCATCTGAAGTGAAATATTGCTCATGAAGAATAAGCCCCAGTTTATACTAGAAACTTATATTGATAGAGCTACTTCTCTCAGGGGTATGAGAAAACAACTACATCTGTGCAACAGTTATACTAACCTAATGCCCCATATAGACAGCATTGGACTGCTTGCACTGACCTAGCTACTGCCTCTTGGGGAGGTAGTGATACAGCTGTGCTGCTGCAGCATGTTAAGAATAGACATTTTACACGTAAGAAGTCAATAACAGCGACATTTCATAAAATTCCAACTAAAGTGAGTACAAGGTATTACTCTATATACTTTTCTGGATCAGCTAGGCTATGCAATGTTAATTTGCCCCACAGCATGTGTGCATGATGATCCATTGTTTAATTATATGATCATACACTACTTTTTCTCCATCCCACATTCCCATCAGCTCCCAGTCATAGTCTTATTTCCCAGGCTCCTCAATTTGTCTCAGGCCTGGACTATGCTAGGTCAGTTTAAAAAAAAATCCACATCCTTAAGCAACGTAGTTAAAATTAACCTAGCTGCCCAGCATAGACAGCACTAGGTTGACAGGAGAATTCTCCCGCCAACCTAGCTACCTTTTCTCAGGGAGGTGGATTACCCATAGGGTATGTCTACACTTGCTCCCTATCTCTAGATAGAGATGCAAATGTAGTGGACCGAAATTGCTAATGAGAAGTATCACTGCTACACAGGGCTTTTTATTTCACAATAATGCAATTTCAAAATGGCGGCTGGACGTGATTATGCTAATTAGGCACAGGAATGAGGAGTAACAATAGTTCGAACTAGGAAGCCTAGTTCGAACTACCTAGTTTGTGCCGCGTGTAGCCGCGCGGCACGGGGTTCGAACGAGCGGGGATTTAAAAATGGCAGCGCCCCGCTTATGCAAATGAAGCCTGGGAAATTCAAATCCCGGGCTTCATTTGCAATTGCGGTATGCCAATTGTTAGTAGGCCTAGAAAACTGTTACCCACCCAGCTCTACTCACCAGCTCCCCTCTCCCTGTTTCCTTGCTCAGTCAATGCCAGTCTTCATATGATCCCAGTCTTCAATCCACTGGCTCCCCATTGCAGCTCTTCCTCCCAGTTTTTGTCCAGCAAGCCCTACTCTCTTTTACCCCACTCCACTGTTCCAGTTTCTCTCTCCAATTATCCTTTTTCATTCTCCAACCAATTGGCTCTTGTCCCCTCTGCTACAGAATCATTCCACTTTTTCCTGAGCTGAGGGGAAGATACTGACAACACATCAGAGCCAGGATCCCTGTGTTCAGTATCCAAATACAGTCCAGAGCTGTAACCACAAGGAAAGTCATTCTCAGCTCCAGGATGGATGGAATCTTTGGAGAATTTACTTGTAAAGCTCTAAAATGTTTTTATTGAGCATGCATGAAGTGTGGTTTTTCGAGTGGCTTATAATTTAGCCATATTTGGGGGAATTTTTCCTGACAAAAATTTGTATGGGTAGATGGTTCCATCCTAGTGCCAAATTTCAAATCCCTGCTCCAAAGTATAGAGGCATTAGAGTATCTCGAAGAAAATATCGTCAGCTTTTTTTTTTTTTAAATGGGCAGGCCAATGTATTTTTCCATAGCCTCATTCTAAGATATGGCTGAAACATTTTGGCTTAAATTTTCCAGATATGTCCAGCCTGAGGCAAACACTCAGCATGTAAAATTTCAACCCAAATGTTTTAGTTTGGCAAACCTGTAAGTAACTGAAAATAGGGTCTTATAATAGAAAATGTCAAACAACCCTAGCCATCTATAATACATAATCAATTATTACAGCAACTTCACAAAACACCTATCAAGAGATTTTCATTGGTACAACTCAAAGCACTTTAGAGGTGGGTGGAAATATTAAGCCAACTTTATCTATTAGGAAACTGAGGCATTGAGTGGTGAAGTGATTTGCCCACAATCAGAATATCAATGGCAGAGCTCTAAATAGACCCTGATCTTCTCCCTCCTCAGTCCAATGTCTCATCAACTACTCAGATTACCTGTGATATTATCTGTCACATTAAATTAATGGTTACAATACAGTATATATTTCCCCAAGGATTTGACTGAGAGAAGTAGGCAGTACGTTTATTTGTTGTATAGTATGTTAGCATAGTTTTGTGGTGTTTTGTTAAGTTCAAGCTGCTGCACATGTGCCTACAAACTAAGAAGGGTAAATTTTAAATGAATAAATAATGGCTACTATGCAGGGCATTTGCCTTCACTTCTATTCGTGTTCTTGTGTGTTCTCAGTTCACAAGGACCAGCATCTCTGACGTACTATTCAAAGGAGCCCTGAACCAAGGTTCATTTCAGAGATTCTTCTCCCCACGGTTTTCTAGCCTGCACATTCCAGAAGTAATAGACCAAAAATTAAAATATATATATTTACACAGTTTTATCTTTTTTCCTCACTTCAACTTCATTGAAAAAGAAAACTGAAATAAACCAATATATTAATGTATTTGACATAACTTTAAGTCACTTCAAATGTAAATTAATTCATCTCCTGTTTACATATTTAAAAAATAAGAGAAAGACATACCACCTGAAAATTATGCTCTTAGCTGATCTGTATAGTCTGTGTTCTTATTTCAGTAATTCTCCTTTCCCCTGCCTCTGATATTTGCTACAGCCAACTGTTTCATCTTGACTTAATTAGATTCAAAACTCTTTGAAGCAGGGACTATCTTACGTGTTTGTACAGTACACAGAACGCCTAGCTCCAGACAGGGGACTGTGTGTGCTACTCCAACATAAATAATATTCATACCACCATTGCCCCCATGGATTATTTGAGAGTCAGTGTAGGGATCTATATATTGACTTTCTCCTTCTTTAGGCCTTACTTTATGATATTTGCTGTGGTCTTCCGTAGATGTAAAGTCTGTGGGATAGTAGTAGAGTTGCATAATGCTAGCAGCATGGGATGCTGTCCAATTCCTGGATAAGATGGTGAAAGAGGGAGAAAGCGCCCAAAATACTGCTGAATAACACTTCCTAGCAGTTGGTTCAAATAGGCGGCTTGAGTTTGGGACTGACAGCATACAAAGGACAAGCCCTGTAGACAGTAAATTCAGAAAGAAAAGAAAAAATGAGCAATATTAGTAAGTGTCCAACATCCTCCTCCTAACTGCAATAGTTTTTGATGCCTAAAGCTGCGTGAGAGATATTGTCACATGCAAAATGGTCACTGTGGCTCACATATTCACTGCATAGTAAGCAAATCTCATTGCTTTGTAAGGCACATTGTGACACTGGAGTACGGAAGGCACCAAGTGAAGCTAAACATTTTTCCTAATAATGTCATAATAGAAAAAATAACTCTTAGAATAAAGATTTGATACGAGACTATTGGGGCATGACAGGAAACAAGTTTGAGTTAGGAAACAAGTTTGAGTTAGACACCAGCAATACTGAATTTCTTTTGGGGTGTGGGGCGGGGTCAGGGGATAGTCACACCAGTTTAAAGCAAGGCTTGTTTCAGTGCAATTTATCTTGAATATATCACATTTTACATTTACATTGCTGAAGGCTGTCTATCTATTGGTACACTTACAATGATTTAATTACACACTATAGAAGTGAAAACAAACAGTGGAGAAAAGAAAATATCAATGGAATACCAACTCTGAGAAAGGCCTCTGGTCAGTACTGTGTGGCCAAAGTTCTGTTTTGCTTGTGAAACAATCCTGCAGCATAGGATTATAAAAGGACTTCGGATGCACTCTATACAGGGGAGGAACTGATCATTTTCGCCTACTGGGAGCACTAAAGTTGATAAAATAGGGCTGCAAAGGTGTTTTGATTCACTTGTTGTTCTAATTAAGAGATTATGCTGATTCTATAACAGTTATATCAGTGGTGGGCAATCTGTGGCCACATGTAGCCCATCAGGGTTCTGTGTATGGCCAGAGAAACATTTTATTTGCCATTGCCCATATGCAAGGTTGCTAGATTCCGCTGCCTTCTGTCCATTTAGTTTGTATCCTATTGGTATAACTGAAGTGACTCACAGGTGAAACAAGGGCATATGAAGCATGGTATATGCTGACTGCACAAAACATTAACTTAAGAGCCTTGTGCTCCCTCTGCATCCAATCAAAGCGCTGCTATGGTTCAGTTGGCACACTCCGTAAATTCTAAGTATGCAAGTGCAGTTAGCAAAACTACCCTATCCCAGGAGTCTGTCTTAGTTATAACAATCTTGCAGCTCACTGAGACGAAGGAGGGTCACTCAAGTAGCCCTCTCACCAGCCTAGGTTGCCCATCACTAAGCTATATACAAAACACATCTTACATCAATTCAAGGAAATGCAGACTGAAATTGGCCAGGATCATATCAATTTCACTGCAATAAGCTACTTATAAATTTCAGCATTAAAATTATAACAGCAGTAGAGAGATATGTGTAAATGAAGAAATTATTGACTACAACTCAAATGTATATAGGTAAAGAGCCAAATTCACAGGGGCGTGAACTGGTCCATAGTCTAGATAAGTTCCAATATTTTTCAGCTTCCAGAATTTACTCAATGCTTTTTTTGGCACAGCATAATTCTTCAAATACAATTTTATAGTCTAAATTTTACAGCAAATGGTAAGAAATAGTAAAAACTGATTTGTTTTTTGAAATGTCAAAGTAGTTTTATTTTCGAAGCATTGGGAATGAACTATTTTCACCTCTTTTTTTTTTTAAACAGTTTAAACAAAAAACTTACTGAAATGTTATTTACCAAAATCCAAAACCAAAAAAAAAAAAAAATGGTAAATGGTGTCTTGATAATTTTTTTATTACAAAGATTAAAAAATATGTCGTTGTCAACAATTATTGGTGAAAAATGTTTAATTTTTGAAAGGCTATTTTGGATGTAAAATATACCCAGATGTAAAATAATTTAAAGAAAAAAAATGAAGAATCATTTCAGTAGCAACTATCAGCTCCCTAAAGAACCTCATACTGGTGAAATCAGGAGATATGTTCATTATTGCTAGTTTTCTTGTTGCCTCTTTCCTAGTGGTGGTTTATTTTATGGAGTAAGAAGAAAAATCATTAGAGGCATGTAAAAAAAATTTAACAGTGGAAAACCTGATGGTTTTTGGTTATCGCATGACCAATGCAGAAAAACAAATTCTATTAAAATGTTAAAAAAATACAATGAAAAAAATCTAGGCAGCAAATGACTTTCTAATTTGTGAGCTGAATAATGTCTTTGGTTAAATAAAAGCTCTACCTGTACGACAAGTTTCTGTGGGAGTGCATTCATCCTAACTGGTCCTCCTCCCTTCACATGTGACCCACAGGAAAAAGAATGAGACAGAGAGAAAAGATAGCTCTCTAGTGTCACGAAGAGTGAAAAGAGAGTGCATTCAGAAATCAGAAAAAGAAACTTACTTGGAATTCACACACTCATAGGTTGATCAAACATGCTACAAGACTTCTTGATATTTTCTGGAACTGAGAGCTATTTTTTTTGAGAACACATGTTTTGGTACCATGTCTAGAGAGAATGAAGTCCAGAAACTCAAGAACTAAGAACCTATCTTGCACATAGATGTTGCCTGACAATAGGTCAATCACCATTGAAAGAATGTTCTAAGTGTGTCTTATGTGACATACACACAGTTTTGTTGTAATTATTTGGTATTTCTGATGAGATGCTACAACAGATGTGCATGGAAGATTGCTTCTTGTGGCACTGATGTTAATAAGATTTAAGAAATTCCATCTTGATCTTTTCACATTCCAAAAACTAGCACGGCTACCTGTTATCTAAGACTACTCTTAAGTCTTCTGAATGCTTCATTACTAGAAACAAGGGAGAAAATGCACTAATTTAGCAGAGCTAAGCAACAGAAAGACCACCTCATATCTTGTGAGTATTGGATACACTTGTTTATAACTGCTCTTTTTCACAGGTTGAAGAAATAATAATGTTAACAATATTATTAAACAGTTGCCTTGTTTTCTCCCCACTATTGCCATGCTTCAGAAAAGCATGGCAAAAGCAGGTAAAAACAAGGCAACCATTATCCACTTCTCTGGAATGCCTGCCTTCTTTCTTCTGATTCATCCATTTATCTGTCAATCATCTATGAAGAGACAAAGGCCTATTAGCATGGATTGCTGGTACTACTCACTGCAAAAACACCAGGCTGTCTAATGACAATGTATAATATCAGTTCCACTGATTAAATAAATATGTTCACAAATTTCTGTTACACGGTGCCTATTAAACACATGCTATAATTCACAAATGCAGTATTGAACTTGTTCAGATCTCTGATAGTACAGTATAGATAAGGACTTTGAAGTCCTGTTCTTTGAGAGATGCTGAGCATGCTCAATTGCATTAAAGACAACAGGAGCTGTGCATATATAGTGCTTTCCAAGATCAAGCTCTTACAATATTTCTGGAAATAATACTGATAATTTCAACAGGGAACACTAAAGGCTTCTACATATATAATACATATTAATTTCATATATACCATATTCTGAAAGACATTTATACCACTAACTTTGGAAGTACTGTAACAATTTTAGAGCACAAAACTGTTACGTTCAACATTATTGGTAAAAGAATCCCAACACTCCTACAAATCATTTTCTAAATTCATTTTATCAGCAATCAGAATGATATTCAGATTCCCAGTAATAAAATTCAGCAATTCATCAATACATAAAATCAGCTCACAATGATGTTTCCATAAAATGCCTAATGTTAGATATTAGCTCACAATTAAAAACAGTGCCGTGAAAAATGTAAAATGGCCATCCATTCATTTTCTTGGCACTTTGCATTCTAATGTCTGACACTTAAAACAGTGTGTACACAATGTTGACAACAAATCCTATCATAAGGGTCAGACCAATGGTCCAATCTGCCGACAGTCCTGTCCAATCTGCCAACAGTGGCCAATACCAGATGTCCCAGAGGGAGGGAACACAACAGGTAATCTTCATGTGATCCCTTTCCTGTCACCAATATCCAGACAAACAGAGGCTAGGGATAGCATTCCTACCCATCTTGGCTAATAGCTATTGATGGACCTAACCTCCATGAATCTATCTAGCTCTTTTTTTAGCCCTGTTAAAGTCCTATCCATTTTTTAACTACAGCTTTTCTTAGGCCAATTGCAATTTCAATAGTATCACACAGGGACTGTGGTGGTTTGGCAAATCTGTCTACATACAAACTGGTGGATTTTATGAAATTCATTGTATTTGGAATCAGCCACTTGCTACTACGGCTGGTGGCACGTCTCTCCCAGACCAGGAACAGTGGAGATTCATTACTGTGAACTGCCACAAAGAGTAAAAGCTCTTTAGAACAAAGGGATAGCTAAAGCCTTTGGAACCTGATTTTCCTCATATTGTCTGCAGAGAAATGGAAAATCCCCAGAAAGAGAACAAAAAAACAAAAGCCAGGCATTAGATCTGTCTCTTAAAAAACTGAAATGCTAGACACAGACAAAGGGGAATGGTTTCTGGTTTGGATAGAACCCTTTGACTGACAGACCAGCTCAAGATTGCTTGCAGGAATCAATAAGGAAATTGCATGACCAGGGAGAGAAGACTGAGTCAGATGACACCTGAAGGGACTGGCTACAAAACCAAACCCGTCTTGGAGTGATGAAGACAAAGGAGGGAGGTTTTTGCATGGATCTGTGAGGCTCTAGGCTTTCTCTATGAAAACAGCAGGTATGGTTTGCAAACCACTATGATAGAGATCTGGGATAGGGTGTGCTTAAGCTACAAGGGAGATTGGGGTGGGGAAGGCAGTACCTATCTTGAGATCTATGGCAAGTGGATTGTAAAAGGGTACCAGACAGAAAGACAGCCCTAGGGAGTGAGGTTAGAGGGCAGAGACAATGCCTGGAACCTGACCAGATTCAGAGCAGAATGGCTCCAGCAGACAGGTCAGCAACAGGCAAAGCTAGTGAATGCGTTTCATGAGTGGTCCTCCCATATCAGTGGGCTGCAAGACTGAAATCGGGCATGTGCAAACCATGACCCCAAGAATAAGATTAAATACACTGCACTTGATTCTCCTTCTTTATCATGCCTTTTCAACACAATGTGATCCTTTATTGGGAACAAATTAATTGCTGGCAAAAGTAAAGTGGAAAGAGCGCACAGCTCTCACAAAGTTGTGTGCAATTAGCATGCACCTCACACATGCCCTTTCTTTAAATGTGTGTCACTTCTCATTTTGCCAGGGGCTTCTCTCCCTCCGCTCCAGACCCACCTCACTCCAACCCTGCCAAACCTTTTCCCTGCCTCCTCTTCTCCTCCCCTGAGTGTGTCCCGTCCCTTCTTCGCCCCCTCCCTCCAGCATTTCTGGAGTGCTGTGAATCCACTGATTCATGGAGTTCAGGCTCTGGGAGGAAGAGGAAGGAGTGGGAAGGGAGCACCAATCTGTTGATTCATAGTGCTCTGGAGATACTGCGAGGGCGGGGAAGCTCCATCAGGACTGTGTCAGGGACAAAAAAACAAGGAGCAGTGCTTAATTTGTAATGAATGAGGTGCCAGAGCGCAGGTCATTTTTTTACATTCATAACTGATGCAGCAAGCCCAGAGGTACCAGGGTATAAACAAACAAGTTTAGACTTGCAGCCCTGGCAGGTCCTGACACAAATTAAACACTGCCAGGGAACCAGGCCCATACCATTTAGAACTTTATAGAAAAAAATTATTTGAAAACTACACCAAGAAGCCCGTTGGTTGTTGGCACAGACCGTGTTACTAACTCTTGGTGGCTGATATACCACACAGCAATCAGGCAGCTACATTCTATAGTAACGTCTGTTTCCAGATGATCACAAGGTGTAGACTGCTTCTCAAAATGTCCACAAACCAGCAAACTAAGTCATAGGCTGCTCTGTCATTATAGAGTGATATTAATTTTCCTATGACATTCTATCAATCACAGTATGACTTCTGGATAAAGGATGAACGCTGGGGGATGCCTCCAATGTCACCACAACCTCTGAATTTAATCATTGCCTTGTATTACTTGGGTGCTTTTAAGGTCAGTAGCAAGACGTTTATGCTCAAAGTGGAGGTTTTGAAGGACCATAACAAAGGGTTTTTACAGAAAATAATGTGCACATTTAGTAAATGAAATAAGTCTTTTCTCTTCTTCACCCTCAATGTAAACAACCTCCTGCACCTCCAATAAACCTTATCATCTTTTGAGAGTGAGAGAGAATATGTGTGTGTGTGTTTAAGGTCAGTAGCAAGACGTTTATGCTCAAAGTGGAGGTTTTGAAGGACCATAACAAAGGGTTTTTACAGAAAATAATGTGCACATTTAGTAAATGAAATAAGTCTTTTCTCTTCTTCACCCTCAATGTAAACAACCTCCTGCACCTCCAATAAACCTTATCATCTTTTGAGAGTGAGAGAGAATATGTGTGTGTGTGGGTGTGTGGAAGGAGACTACCACCAATACTGGAACCAATGACTGGATCAAGTCTACTATCAAACTACTGAGATAACAACAGTGTCTTCTCAGAAAGTACACAAGCAGAAAACAAGGAAAACAAATGTTAAAACTTATCCTTAGCAAACCATAGTGTTGTTCATAAAACCACTGATAAGGTAAATTTTCAAATACACATTTGCTTTTTAATCTCAACCAGTGTCCTTTTATCCTTTATGCTTATTTGATCTGCTGTGTCAAAAGTCCCTCATTTCAGAAGCCAATGTTGGCACGTCAGCTAAATCTTCTCTATACACAATGATCAGGCATTATATATTGGAGCGCATCTGCCATCAGTGCTAAACACACCCAGGGAGAAGTGAACCAACGGGGGTGGCATTTTTTTCTTTCACCCTCAACAAGAGGAAAAATTCTGCTGCTTCTTCGGT